TAAGATTTGAGCTTTCATAAACAATTTTCCCACATTTATTACTGTAATACTAGTTCTATAGAAACTGAGCTCTCTGATTTTTAATAGGATTTCACCCTTGACTGATGTTTTTCCCAGATTCATTGCATTGGTAAGTTTTGTCTCTATTATAAACACCTCCATAATTATGAAAGTTAAAGCCCTAAGATCTTCCTAAGTTCTCAACACAAGAAACCTAGCTCAAATGAATAATTCTGTGGTATTGCAAAGTGGTGTCTGGATAAGGAGCCGACGGTGTGTATCAAACTTGGACTTTGCAATAAGGAAGGATTATGTGTTGGTGGAAGTATAGTGAACCCTTTGGAAAGCACTTCTCAAATCAATCACATTAGGCATTTTATCTTCATTTTTAAATGTCTAACATTCTGAAATGTGTCAGTTAATGATTAAACCAATCTTAAATTTGAAATCATTTGCATGATTACTTTCAGCATGGACCAGGTGATTTCCCAGAATTTCCAAATATCACTCAAAACAACAAGAAATATATATGTTTAAAAAATGATTATCATCCCTGGGTTCAAAGACATTCTTCTGCAAATATAACTGACTTTTAAGGTGAGGTTTTCGCCCAACTTTTTATATCCTTGATCTCTTTTGGCACTAAGGATTTCATTGTAGGTAACTGTCACAATTTGGTTCTATCTATCATAATGTCCTTTCTGTCCTTCACTAACCCCCATCATTCCCAGTCATTCATAAGTATAAATACTTATTTCCACAGATTCCACAGCTTCCCATATCACTCTACAAACTGATTCTCCTTTCCCTGTCTTTGCCAAGAGGTCTTGGCTGTTATGGAAAGACACAACTAAAAGAATCAAAGTAAGTTACCACGCTAAGTACAATGACATGCATGTATGTTAAAATGCTCTTGTGGAGAATTGATACTCATCATAGCGTATCAGCCAAAGGGGGAAACAGGAACCACCAGGACTGTGCTCCTCCATGGAGACAAAAATGGAAGGACTTACATTTTAGAGAGAGCTCAGAAGCAGTTAGGAGAACACAGCCCCCCAGGTGAGAACAAAGGAAGAAGAGCCACATGAAAGAGACAAGGAGAGTTTGTGACATTTGCCCACAACAGCCATTCACCCTCCCAGACGCTCCATGGCAACACCGTGAGAACACTCTCACCTTCCTCAGGAGAGAAACAACCGAGTGACCTGTTCGTTCCGTGCTCTCACTACTTTGCCGCTGCCTGAGGACATGCTCCAGTCATGCCTGACACGGAAGGAGCAAGGAATGAGCTCTCTCTGGAAGCACCATGGTGGTTGCTCAGGGAAGGACGAGCACTTGTTCAACCAATGGAGAGACTACAGAGCTGAAGACAGAGAGAGAGAGAGGAAGCTATCGTGGACGTGAAGTACTAACTGCAGTTTTATACCTGGGGAATTACAAAAATTCAGACATGACAAATGCCCACAACATGTGTGCCAGGTCCCAGAATTACTATTATTTGTGTTCCTCTCTGCAAAGTAAGTCCATAATCTAGGGCTCACAAAAGGGCTACTTTTTTAAAAACTCCCAAATGTCAACAAAATGCAATCAAGCATACGAGGAAACCAGGAAAATGTGTTTCAAACAGAGGAATGAAATAAATCTCTAAAATGGTCTTAAATCAATTAAGAACTATTATTAACTGCCTGACAAAAAATCAGATACCCATCATAAAGATGTTCATGGAGGAAGAAAACAGACAGTTAACTAAATGCTATCAGGGAGACTATGCGTGACCAAAATGAAAGCCCGAGCAGACAGAAAGCATAACAACAATGAGCCAGAAATTGGAGCTGAAGAGTAAAATCACGGAATTTAAAAATACACCAAGGGGTCAGCCACAGACTTGACTAATCAGAAGAAAGATTCAAACATCTTAAAGACACTTTAAATTCTTTACTGATAGGAGCAAAGAAAAATGTGGAAAAGAACAGAGTCTAAGGGACTCATGGGAGACCAACAAGTGGACCAACATGTCCATTAAGGGGACCCCATAAGGAGAGGAGAGTCAAAGGGGGCAGAGAGTTTACATGAAAAACTAAAGGTCTGTACATCCCACATATGTGGAAAGGGACTGACTCAACAAGCTCAGTAAATTCAAACTAGGATAAATCTCAATACAGGAACACAGCAACATATCATAATGAACCTATCACAAATCACAGCGGAAAAGAGAATTTTGAAACAGCAGGACAAAGCCAACCATCTTGTACAAGAGAGCTTTGTAAGATTAATAGTGGGATTCCCAGCAGACCAGATAGGAAGAACTACATGGGAAAATATATTCATATACTGAAAGATCAAAAAACAGCCACCAAGAATAATATTTTACCTGGCAAAACTATTTTCCATAACTGTAGAAATTAAGACTTTCCCAAGTAAAAACCCCTGTAAGTTTACCAGTAGACCTGTCCCACACAAAATGTTAAAGGAAGTCTTTGTAGGAGAAATAAAAGGATTCTAAACAGTAACTGAAACCACGTGACAACATAAAGCTCTCCACTAAATACAAGTATTTACACAATTATAGAAACCTGTAGTGTTGTAATTAAGTAGCACATGTCACTTTTACTTCTGCTGTAGAACTTTATTATATAAAAGCATAAAAATCATAAATCTAGGCAACAAAGTCTACAACATGAAAGAATGTGATACTGGTAACATAAAGTGGGTGCAGGGGTAGAGATGATAAGTAGAAGAGTTCTGTATGCAATTCACAATAGCACTTTAAAATGGTTTGCTGTACCTTTAAAATATTTCAAGTAAACTCTAACATAACTTCTATGAAAATAAGTACAGAGAAGACACAAAAGTTAATGAGAATGGTATCAAAGCATATCATGGGTATAACACCACAATTAATATAATGTAATACCAAAACTTGATACAGAGGTATAAAATGTTTAAAAATTACACTGAATTCACGAAAAGTGTTTCTCTCATGCAAAGGGATTATAAATTCACCAAAAGATGATGAAATTAATTCTATTATTATAACAACTCAATACAACACTCACTGAACACTATCCAATTAAAAAAAATACACAAGATGAGTCATTAAGTATGCACGGGTGGCAATTATACAGACAAATACATATATAATTTTATTGGTAAAAGGCATAAAGTTGATTCATAGGAGATAAACTCACATTGTCTTGAAATCTACTGAGTTGAAAATTGTCATCCTACAATAAAATAAACAGGCAACAACAATATCACAACTAAATAATGTGGAGGGTCCCGTACAAAAGGAAGCACATTATTATAGAACTGCAAAAGCAGAATACGACAAAATTTAACCCAAAGAAGTGTACATAAAAACACATGAATTTCTGAAAGGAAATCTTCTTCTATAGAAGTGTAATTGTAAACTGTTTAATTTTAAACTGTGACTATATAGCAAGAAAAATGAGTATTTTGAATTATTGGCATGCCCTCATTGACAGTAAAATTGTAAAGAATTTCATTAAAATCAACCATGAAGAGCTCTAACAGAAAATTTTATGAATGAGCACTTAAAAGACACTAAAAAACGTTTAATATTATTAACATGTCCCTCCTCTTATGCAGAATGCAAGGCTCTAACCCATTCCTTAGAAATGAGCAGGCTTGGGTGCTGGGTGAATTAGCAGGTTTACGTCCAACTCTTGATTTCACCTCAGGTCACAATCTCAGGGTTGTGGGATTGAGCCCCTCACGTAGTCTGTTTAGAATTCTCTCCCTCTCCCCCTCCCCCCACTAGTGCTGACTACCTCGTGCGCGCGCGCGCTCTCTCTCTCTCTCTCTCTCTCTCTTATAAATAAATAAATAAGAGAATCAAGCACACCACGAAATACCATTCATTTTGGGGAAAAAAAAAAATCAAAATTGTAAAACAGGCTGGCAATCACTTTGCAAAAAATAAATATTGGGAATTAAATTTGGATACATTCTGAGTAAAGCAGAAAAGCCTAACAGTTAACTTCTCCTGAAGTAAAATTACATTTATTAACAAACTTTTTTTTTTCAATATGGGAATTTTATTAATTATCCACCTCACTTCTTAGCAGCATACACCCATGTCATATCACAACTATTCATATAAAAAAAATCAGAGATGAAGCTGATATATAACAAATAAGAAAGTGAAAACACATGACAAAAATCACAAGAACTTTATATCATACAAAGTTATAAAATGATGCAATTATTAAGAAATAAAATAACAACCAAGACTTTTTACTATAGGCTATAAGTTCTAAGTTCTAAATGTTCTAGCTCCCTTACGGCATTAATTTGTGGTTTATGTAGGAATTCTAGGATATAAATAGATACATCACATTATTTCACCACTGAGGAATGCAACATAGAATGGAACTTTCTAATATTAGTACAAAGAAAAATGAACCTTTGAAGGGAAATAAAGGACTATATATTCTCATTTTAGGGAGGTGCATTATTATCTGGTAAGATTACTGAGTCTCAATTTTGTTCAATTAAAATTAAAGCCTCCATCACATCAGAAAGCATAAACCAGAAAACATCGGATATCAATCTCCAGTGTTCCCAGGATTTCTGCACAAAACCCCAATACATCCACTGTTATCATGACACACAAGGCAAAAAAGAACTCAGAAAAGGTTTAGCATAGAGTTCCAGAAATAGGGAGATTTTCCCAGGGCCCTCACGGCCACGGAGAAGCTCTCAGGTCATGGAGGCCCTCCCGCTCCCAAAGTAGTTGCCTGGCCCTCACTGTGGATGTGATGGATCATCACTCGAGCTGAAGGAGAATCTTCAGAGAATGTAAGAGCTAGATAATGTTGCACAGCAGATGTCCGTCTGTGAGAGGGGGAGAACTAAAACTAGGCTTCTCAAACTAATTTCCATTCAAGGAGAGCTACTTAAAACACATTTTAAGGTCAATCTTCCTGCTTCACATTTGGACCTCACCTCTGTCATCTGCTTCATTCAGTCTCACCTACCTGGGTGGATGGCTACTCTCTTCTTTCTCTTCATACCCCAGAGCTCCTTCTCTTGCTCCAAAAAGATGACCAGGTTTGGCTTCCACACAAGATCTGTTTAACAGAAAGAAGTATTGCTAGAGATTCTTTCAATCCAGGATTGTGCTCAGTAGAGAAGAGAGGACACTGTACAATTCTAGAAAATGATTCCCCAAATGCTGTTAACCAACAGCCCTTTTAGAACACACAGCAGGGGTTTCAAATATTCACATTATGATCTCCACTTCCAAGTACTAGCGATACAGTAAGAAGGAACAGGGCGCCTGGGTGGCTCAGTCGTTAAGCGTCTGTGCCTTCAGCTCAGGTCATTCCCCAGGGTCCCAGGATGAAGCCCCGAATCGGGCTCCCTGCTCAGCGGGAAGCCTGCTTCTCCCTCTCCCACTCCCCGTGCTTGTGTCTCTCTCTTGCTGTGTCTCTCTCTGTCAAATAAATAAATAAAATCTTTTTTAAAAAAATGTCAGTAACACTCAAAGTGATGTACAGATTCAATGCAATCTCTCTCTCAAAATCCCAATGACATTTTTGCCATCTTAAACATTCATGCAGAATGTCACAGGACATCACATATCCAGAATAATTTTTTAAAAGATTTTATTTATTTCTTTATTTGTGAGAGAGACAGAGAAAGAGAGAGAGAGAGCAACAGAGCACAAGCAGGGGGAGCAGCAGTCAGAGGGAAAGGCGGGCTCCCCACTGATCAAGGAGGCCTGATGCCGTACTCGATCCCAGGACCCTGGGATCATGAGGTCCTGGGATCATGACCTGAAGCGAAGGCAGACACTCAACAGACCGAGCCACCCAGGCATCCGACATCCAGAATAATCTTGAAAATGATTAGTACTTTGGAGACATCACAATTCCTGATGTTAAGAATATTATAAAGCTAGAGTAATCAAAATAAGGTAAGAGGCAGAATGACAGATATAGAACATTGGAAAAGAACAAAGAGCTGAGATATAAACGCTCACTTTAAAGGAACTTCAACAAGACTGGCTGCCTAGGGCGCCTGGGGGGGCTCAGCTGGTTAAGCGTCGGCCTTCAGCTCAGGTCATGATCCTGGAGCCCAGGGATCGAGTCCCACATCTGGCTCCCCGCAGGGGGTCTGCTTCTCCCACTTACCTCTCTCCTCTCATGCTTTCTCTCTCATTCTCTCTCCCAAATAAATAAATAAAGATCTCAAAAAAAAAAAAAAAAAAAAAAAGATTGGCTGCCTATACCACAGCATAGATAAAAGACATCATCTTAAAACAATGGTGTTGAGAAAATCAGATGCCTACATGATAAGAATGATGGACTCTGACTCAAGACCATATGCAAACATTACCTCAAAATGGGTTGAATAGCTAATTAAACATAAACATATAAATGTAAAGCTCCTAGAAAAAAAGAGAAAAAGCTATACATTTGATTTGACAATGATTTTTTTTTTTTAGATATGACACCTATGTTGGAGGCAACAAAATTAAAAATAAACCAATGAGATTATAACAAACATAACAACTTGTACACATTAAAGGAAAGAATCAATGGAGTGAAAACAGAGACTACAGATGGGAACAAATTTGTGCAAAGCACCTCCATGTAAAAAGGTTAATATCCAGAATTTATAACGTGTATATATATATACACAACACAACATCAGAAACAACCTGGATGATAAATGGGTAAAGCACTGAATAGACATTAACCTCCAAAAGGTACACACATGGGCAAAACGCATATATGCTCAAAATCAGGAATAATTAGTGAAATACAAATGAGAAACAACGGGGTATCACTTCACACCCATCAGGACGACCATTGTGAAACAAACCAAAATTCACATGGCCTGGTAATGACGTGGAGCAGTTAGAACTCATACACGCCGTTGCAGGGAACATAAAATGGTGGAACCAGTAGGAAAAACAGCATGGAGATTCATCAAAAAATTAAAAACAAAATTATTCTATGATCTACCCATCCCACTTTTGAGTTTATATCCAAAAGAATTCAGAGGAAGATCTAGAAGTGATATTTGTACATCCATGTCCACTGCAGCTTGACCCACAAAAGCCAGAAATAGGGAGGATCCACCCAAGTGCTAATGGTTGGATGAAGGATGGATAAAGTAAATGTAACATGCACAAACCATGAGATATTTTTCAACTTTGAAAAAGAAACAGATTCTGTGACGTAATACAACCTGGGTAACCCCTGAAAACATTATTTTTAGTGAAATAAATGGCTCACAAAAAGACAAATTCTGTAAGATTCCACTGAGGTGAGATGGATGCACTGTGGTGACTGCTCAGAAAAAAAGCTGACTGTTTAGGCAAGCACTGGAGAGACTGCATAGCTGCAAACACCAGGGAAAGTCATATATCACGGGCTCTAAAGAAACAACAGAGCGTTTGTTAACTGGGATATTAAAAAAACGCAGACATTACACATCCCCAGAATATGTCTGACAGGCCCCAGGATTATGCAGGATTATGAGGGCTAACGCACAGTTGAGTGTTATTTTTGTTCTCCAGTACAAAGCAAGTCTATAAAGCCTGGGGCCAGAGGGCTGTTTTTTATTTAATTCCCCAAATCTCAGCAAAAGATCGTAGGCATACAAAGAAATAGAAAAATGTGTTCTAATCAAAGGACCAAACTAACACTCAAGACTGACCCTAAATTAATTAGGAATAATCATTACCCGACAAAGATTTCAAAGTAATAAACACTAAGGTGTTCCTGGAGAAAGAAGAGAAAAAAATTAGGGAGATAAATGGTACCTGGAAAACCACAGATGACCAAAATAAAAATCCAAACAGGCAGAAAGTATAAAAAACAACTAAACAGAAATTGGGAGCTGATGACTGAATTTAAAAGAACACTACAGAGTCAGAAACAGATTTCACCAAGTAGAAGAAAGAATCAGACATCTTAAAGGCCCCTTGTTTTAAATTACCCACTGATGGGAACAAAGAAAATATGGAAAAAGACAGAGCCTAAGGGGACACTAACATTGAGGCAACTGACATATTAAGGAGGCCTCCATAAATAGAAGAGAGTGAAAGGGGGGCAGAAAACTTACATGAAGAACTAAAGGCTTATACTTCCCACATTTATGGAAAGAAAGACAAATTCAAGTAACTCAGTGAATTCTAAGTAGGATAAATGTCAAGACATGAACACAGTGACACATCATAATTAACCTACCGAAAGGTACAGGTGAAAAGAGAATTTTGAAACAGCATGACAAAAGCAACTCATCTTATACAAGAGCACTCCTATTATTACTGGGATTCTCAGCAGACCGGAGAGCTGCATGGGAGAATATATTCAGGCGCTGAAATACAAATATATGTATATATACCAAGAATACTCTATCTGGCAAAACCGTCCTTCTAAAATGGAGAAAGAAGGCTTTCCCAGGTAAAAACCCTGGAAATTTACCCCCGGATCTGCCCTCCGAGAAACACTAAAGGGAATTCTTCTACTTGAAGTAAAAGGATTCTAACCACTAACTAAAACCACATGAAAATATAAAGCTTTCTGGTAAATGTAAATATTTACACAAATACAGAAATGTAAAGTACTATAATAAGGTAACACAAATCAATTTTATTTCTACTACAGAACTTCTTTATAAATAAAAGTATAAAAATCATAAATCTAGGGATGCCTGAGTGGCTCAGTCATTAAGTGTCTGCCTTCAGCTCGGGTCATGGTCCCGGTGTCCTGGGATCGAGCCCCACATGCTCAGCGGGAAGCCTGCTTCTCCCTCTCCCACTCCCACTCCCCCTGCTTCTGTTCCCTCACTCGCTGTGTCTCTCTCTCAAATAAATCAATATAAGATCTTTAAAAAAAAATCATAAATCTAGGTTACAGAGTATACAACATAAAAGATAAATTCTGGGGTATCGGTAACATAAAGTGTGTACAGGCTGGTGATCCTAAGTACTAGAACTTTGGACACAATTGACAGTATCAGTTTTAATGGTCTGTTACACTTTTAAGAGGGTTTAAGTAATCTCTATGGTAGCCACAAAGAAAACATCTACAGAAGACACAAAAATGACATAAGAATGGTATCAAAGGGACGCCTGGGTGGCTCAGTGAGTTAAGCCGCTGCATTCCGCTCGGGTCATGATCCCGGCATCCTGGGATAGAGTCCTACATCAGGCTCCTTGCTCAGCAGGGAGCCTGCTTCTCCCTCTGCCTCTGCCTGCCACTCTGCCTGCCTGTGCCCCACCCCGGACATATAAATAAAATCTAAAAAAAAAAAAAAAAAAAAAAAAAAAAAAAAAAAAAAAAAAAAAAAAGAATGGTATCAAAGCATTTCATCACAAAAATCAAAGAAACATAAGGGAACACAGTAAGGGAAGATACATGGGCTAAAACAGCTACAAAATGTACAGAAAACTACTTAAAAATGGCAATAGTAGCTCTTCCCTTTCACGAATTACTCTGACAGTAAATGGATTAAAATCCTCCAAAGACAGGGTGCCCGGGTGGCTCAGTCAGTTAAGCGACTTGCCTTTGGCTCAGGTCATGATCCCAGGGTCCTGCAATCTCCTGCTTATGCCTGTCATTCCCCCTGCCTGTGTTTTTTTTTGGAAAAAAGTTTATGTGTTCTCTGGCCTAAGATTGGGCTTAAAGAGTTTTAAAAGTACATGAGTATAAAATAAACATTTGGCTTTGCAGCCTGTTAGAAAGACACTGTTGGGCCTCTGCCCTTGGTCATGATCCCAGGGTCCTGGGATGGAGCCCCATGTCGCGCTCAGCAGGGAGCCTGCTTCCCCCTATCTCTCTGCCTACCTCTCTGCCTACTGTGATCTCTCTCTCTATGTTAAATAAATAAATAAATAAGAAAGAAAGAAAGAAAGAAAGAAAGAAGGAAAGAAAGAAAGAAAGAAAGAAAGAAAGAAAGAAAGAAAGAAAGAAAGAAAGAATAAAAATCCTCTTACTGGCAGCACTTGGGACCCAGATACTGGGTTTATAATTTGCTCCAACCATTAACCTGTGTTTTTCTTTTGTTTCCACAGAAATGCCTCTTAATAATTACCTGATTGCTTGCACCATAC